TTGTTACTCGTTCTTTAAGAGCTAAATGTTTCTTCTTTTCACAGGACTTTCCATAATGAGAGCTTTGTATGTGAGGGAATCCCCAATGGAAACATCCCCTCATCCCGTGCCGTGTGTGTGTGTGTGTGTGTGTGTGTGTGTGTGTGTGTGTGTGTGTGTGTGTGTGTGTGTGTGTGTGTGTGTGTGTGTGTGTGTGTGTGTGTGTGTGTGTGTGTGTGTGTGTGTGTGTGTGTGTGTGTGTACAGTATTATGCAGAAATCCCACATCAAATTCCATGAAAGCTGCAGTAGCAGTAGCACTGATAGGAGGGTTTAGGCACTTTGCTTATCCTCAGTGGCATCTCAGAACAATCATACACCTACAATGAGCCTCATTCTCTGTGCAGTGTTATTGTCAATTGAAAATATCACAGAAATGCTCATTCATAAATACAATAAGCTGCCAACAACAATACAATAAGTCAGTGTAGGAGGAATAGCATTACTCTGTAATGCGCTTCATAGAGGAGCCTTTTGTGAATTATTTTGCACACATATTGTCCACTACCAATAACCTTGACATGATGTGAGCATGATGTGAATCAAACTGATAGGAACAATCATTAGCTAAACAGTAAGCATTTCATATTTTTGATTGTGTGTGAAATGTCTCAACTGGTTATGATATAAGCACAATCCAAAGCCCTTACTCTGACAGTATGCTCGGTTGAGTCAGTGACCACATTGCCAAATAGTGCGTTACTAAATGCTCTCCACTACTATATGCCTCTTCAGTTTGTTACAGCCCACCCCCTCCCCTCTCTATGGAGCTGATGCCCTGGGCTTAATTCATAATGATATACACAGCATACCTTTCTTTAATCCTTCTTTTATGCCAACATTGTAAATATATATTGTATAGCCAGTAGGCATAATGTCTAACAGTTTAATCAACCTTTAACAGCATGAGATCTGCTCTCCTGTAGAGGATGTAGTGAACACAGAGTCACATTGATATGCCCTGATCAGTCCATAGAGTGAGGCATTAATACTCTGTTCCTCATATGTTAGACAGCAGTTGGTGATCTTGATCAGTGGATGATGTGATTTACTGCCATTCAATTTTTTTTTAGCAACCTACAAATGGACATTGAAATACAGTGAAGACACAGTGTCAGTTTTGAATGTCAAACAGTCAATGAGCGTGTTTATTTAGGACTGATTTAAAATAAATTACAATTGATATAACAAGAAACCTATTGTCACACTGCAAGAAAGCCCCCCATTCTGCAGCCCTGTGCATCACATGGCTGACCTCCTACACCAAACACCCACATATTCTCTGCAGATCCCTTCATGGTGAACTAGGACAGTTTCCGAGTGAGGAGGTCTGGTTAGGTCGAATGTAAAGAGGAAAGATAATGGGAAAATCCTGTCAATTATGACCTCATTTCAAACTTTAGCCTGCGGCTAACGGGGTCCATACCAGCAAAGTAGGCTAATGCCTGACCTCTGCCCAACAGGATGAATAGTGAACATGTTGACTGCCAAGAGAGTCACCCATAGCAGGATTCCCCTTTTTACACCAGGAAGTCATTATGCAACAAAAGCAAACGTGCCATTCAGAAAAAAAGAGCGAAATTGATAATGTATATAGTTATTGCAATTAGAATGTACTATAGCTGCTTCATGAGCTCATGTTGCCAAAATACCACCCTCATCCTCTCAAGTGCCACAGCTGTCCTGGATTACTCATTTCTGAAAAAGCTCAACCAACACGGGAGCTACCCATTCATGCAGTGAGAAAACCTCAGTGGCTTGAGTTACACACTCTTTTTTCTCTATTTGAGATTTGTACCATTTCCACTTCTACAATCATAACAAATGCTCTCTTTATAGATGATTTATAGTGTGAAATTACCAGTTAAATTGCAGCTGGGCAGTAGCTGATGGTGGGGGTGTTCAGTTTGTAGCACAGTAGCAGACGGCAGCTGCTCAGACCAGACTGGTTAGACAATATTTGAGAGTATGACTCATCCTTCTCATCACAGCTTTCCTGCGTCTCCCTCTCATTCACTGTTTCTCTTTCGCATGCTCTCTTTCACTCTTAATAGAAGTACACAGCAGAAAAAACTCACTGGCCATTAATAAACAGTAGAAGGACAAAAAAGCCCAACAAACTAAAAGTTCACTCTTTTTCTAGGAAACCAGCTTCAATGACATTTCAATTGTCCAACATACTGTATATCCAGGACACAGAGAATTTGGCCTTTACTCCCCAAAACTAAATGTTAAAATGTCTCTCACGGAATTGGACCCACTATACTGTATGCCACTTTTCCTAAGAACAAATATAGGCTCTATGAAGCCTGATGTACTTATATGATTCTGTTTTCTTCAAGTTAAGTCGCTTTGGATAAAAGTGTCAGCTAAATGCAATGTAATGTAATGTAGTAATAGTATTTTGAAATGTCCTGGAGAGACTTAAATGCTGTCAGTTTGTTTTACATGAAAGCTCTTGAAAAACATACACAACTAGTAAAAACAGATACATGTGATCATTGTAAAGAAGCAGACCAAGCCCAGTAATAATGTACAACTTTAAAGGTATTTTGCTTATTCAATGTTCTGAAAAATATCTTATGATATTAGAAGTGCTCATTAGGTAAGTTTAGATCCTCAAACAATGATAGTGAGATTACTAATATGATATTTATTTATGGAGCTCACTACAAAGCTTAAACCCTTCTCAGAAGCATACATCTTATCTTCAGTTCAAGAAAAGCACATCTAAGAACATTAGTCACACATTGGGGTTGATAGCGCTGTACTTTGTGGTCTGACTTATAGTATTTTATTCATCACACTATTATGTGAGGCAGCATGTAGGGGCAGACTCTGCACCACAGCAGCAGTCTCTGCACACAGACTGGAGATTGTTTCCTACCCAGGCCTCTCTGGATTCCCACATGGACGTTGAAACATGTGCCTTTTTCTTCTTCTGGACTATATCAACACATGAAGACCACAAAATCACAACCCACAAACAAATCAAGACATTCCCTAACCAGAAGCCTTGGACAGAAATGATCAGACCTCTGCAGAAGGCATGCAATGCTGCTTCCAGTTCTCAGAAAGCGGAGCCATACAGCTCTTCCAGGGCCAATCTGAAGAGGGTATCAGGGGGGTCAAACAACAACACAAACAGCTGATTGAGGAGTATTTTAAGAACATTACATTACATTGCATTTAGCTGACGCTTTTATCCAAAGCGACTTACAATAAGTGCGTTCGTCCAACAAAATACAACTTGAAGAAAACAGAATCATAAAAGTACATCAGGTTTCATAGAGCAAAAACATTTCAAGTGCTACTCAACTGGCTTTAGAAAAGCCAGTCCTTTATTAGTATAAAAGTGCTTCGTTAATAGTTCTATCGCTCGAAGTGGAGTCGAAAGAGATGAGTTTTCAGTTTGCGCCGGAAGATATGCAAGCTATCTGCTGTCCTGATGTCAATGGGGAGCTCATTCCACCATCTTGGAGCCAGGACAGCAAACCCACGTGTTTTTGCTGATGGGAACTTGGGTCCCCCTCGCAGCGAGGGCGGAGCGTGTCGTTTGGCTGATGCAGAGCGTAGTGCACGCGCTGGGGTGTACGGTTTAACCATGTCCTGGATGTAGGAAGGGCCAGATCCATTCGCAGCATGGTACGCAAGTACCAGTGTCTTGAAGTGGATTCTAGCAGTTACCGGAAGCCAGTGAAGCGAGCGTAGGAGCAGAGTAGTGTGGGAACATTTAGGAAGGTTGAAGACCAGACGAGCCGCTGCATTCTGGATGAACAACTCTGACCGCAGGCGCATGTGGCAAGGCATACGTTTAAATGATTTTCGTTGCACTGACCCCATCATCACCAAGTGCATGGAAAGACTGGTTCTATTGTTTTTTTAAATATATGTAACTAAAATATGCCTAAACCACTCCACCTTATCTGTTACTGTTTCACTCATCATACCACCTTGTCTGTAACTTGCCACACATATGCAACAACCTGTATATGGACTGTAACCCATATATGTCTGTTAGCTGTGACTTCCTCTGTACTTTATTTGCTCTTTGCATGTGCAATGTCAATTACATTGAATCTAATCGAATGTTTCAATAGTGTTTAAAAAAGGCATATGCTGAAATGCTAAAATGCAATTGTTCTTAGTAAAGTAAAGCTGAAATTGGAAAACAGGCTTTTGACAATAACAAGGCTGAAAAGAAATGAATGATGCATGAACGATCAACAAAGCAGTCCCTTGATTTGGAATCAACAGCAGCTCTGCACTATTGTTCTCACTTTCTATGACACAGAACACACAATTGACACCTTTAATTTGCTCCAGTGTAAATCTTCTGTCCTCTGATGGAGTTTGATGTGAATGCATTAAATTCTCTCTGCTGTCTGTTCCACTTATAATTACACCCACAAGCACACACACAAAACCATGCAGAGCAAAACAGTACACACATACACACAAATCATCCTCGTTTGACCTCATCTGCATACTGATATCTCCTGGTATTTCAGAAGTGCAATTCCTAACCTGTCCAACGGTCATTTAGTTCATGATCTAGAATAGATCGAACATTTGCCAGGCTTTGTCATTCTCCACAGTTCTATCTGCGTTTGAGACCACTGACCACAGCCTGCCATCATTGCCTCTTTGGTTCTGTTTTCCAGTTCGGACTGGTTAAACTTCAAATAGATTCTTCCTGGACCAGCCTTCTGTATCTCTTCATCCCTTTTCAGCTATACGGAAAACAGCACCCAACAATACCCACATTTCTGTTATACATTTTTGTCATACTGACCTTTGCTTTAGCCTTTTATTAAAAAGGCCGCTTGTCCTCCATGCCATCAAATCTTTGGCAGAAGTGCTTTGTGCAGCATATCTGTTGTTCACTCTGTTTAAAAGGTGGCACAAAGCATCAGCTCTTCAGAAGTCCTGATGACAGAGTTAACAGCTGTTTGGTCTTACCTTGGTGTGGAGCTTCGACAGCTGCTTTTCATCCAGGTGAGTCTGAGTGTAGACACGTCTTTTATAGCGGAACTGAAACACAGCAGGAGCAAACAAAGAGAGCACGTTATATCCTTTGTTTTTGTTGTATGTTTTGACTGTATTACAAAATGCACACAAAATAAATATAATAATGTGAATTATCAACGTCACTTTAGTTGAATTTGTCAGACGGTATCAGAGCAGCAGACCACACTACATCAAATCTATTTTTCATGAGAGAAAAAGCATGAGAGAGATAGAGGAAGATACGGCGGAGAGACATTTTGAGTCATTCAATAACCATGATATGAAATTAAGGTATCAAATATCTCTCTGTATACGGCTGTCATCTATCCCATCTGTCAGGCTTGTCATCATTTCCACATATTACATCTTGCCTGAAAAGCCATCTACTGCTCCTTGAAGTTTCAGTATACATTTGCAGGAGGGACTTTGCATACAGGTTTGACAAATTAAAAAAGACAAGTCGATTGAGGCAGTGTTTTTTCCCCACTTCGAGTAAAAATTGTAAATATAAATTCGGTATGTCAAATAGTAAATGAGTTGTTTTTTTGCTGAACTCCGAAGACCAGACTTCGATTGGGTTATACAAAACCTGAAAATACATTATACTGTGTAAGAAAAAAGTTAAAAAGGTAATAAAAGGTAGAATAACATGGCAAATATTCTGCAATAAAAAATTGTGACATTGCGCATTGTCGAGCCTCAATCTAATCAGTTTGCCATGTAAGCAGTAAACTGAGAATGGATTATTTCAAGGTTTACTACAACAAGAAAGCTGCATGTATTTTCCCACTTAATAGGCAGAGTATTTAATGGACATGGATCACCAAACACTGACAGCCTGTTATAGTTTTTAAATATACATAACTTTCACTTTCTGGGACTGGCAAACTATTCCAGTTGTGTAAGTGTGTACGCAAGAATTCACATGTGGTGTGGTGTTCATCGATGGGGCAAATCCACGGTGGAGCAGAGCGGTTTTGAGCTGCTAATCCAGACCTGTCAATCATTTATACACTCCACAGGCTCTAGGGAATAACTGCTGGACAATCAATAAACCACACAATGCTCCGACAGGGTAATAGCAGAGACTTGCGCGCACACACACACACACACACACACACACTGATCGGAGCCCACACTTATTCAGCTGGATTGTAAACCAACCACAGAGTTAATGGTGGAGTTTAAACTGATAAAACAAGTCATTTCCCTTATGTAGGCTATACAGTTTGGCTGCTGTTTCGTAAAGTATTGGCATTTATCAGAGCTTTTCTACTGGTGTATTATTATAATATTTGTAAGAGCATGTCACCTGTGACGGCCGCACATTGATTTAAGGTGTTTTTTCTAAACTGTAGTGGCAGGGGAAACGATTTAAGGCATGTTGATTATCATGAAATTAAATGAACTATGATACATGTATATTATCCTCTGCAGTTGTTAATGTCCACTGTTATGTACGGTTTGAGGGTGTGGGTCATTAAGCCTCATCTGCATATTCACCTGTCACGGAGCGCCCAGAGGCTTTTTAGTGGGCGCGTCACCTGGAGGCCAGTGGTTGGTTCTCACAGGAGGAGGAAGTGTGTGTGTGGCGAATGCGGGTATTCAACGGGATATTTAAGTTTCCTCAGCATGTATATATATGTTAAAATGCAACGGGGAAGTAACTGAAAATAACTGAATGTGGATATTGCATCGACAGACCAAGAAGCACATCTCCGTGGAGAGGACGCGCCCAGATAGAGATTATTTCCAACACAGGGTGAGATAGCTCCTTTGTGCCACGCTGATCATCGTGTTTTCCTTTTTTGTGGATTATAGCCTAAATAGGCCTACAAACATTTCTGCTTTTGCTGCCGACGGGCGCAGGAGCAACAGACTTTTTTTTGTCAATGAACTATAGTGGCCTGGATTAGGCAGTAAAGACAATTTCGGTTTATCGCCGAGCAGACTTTTTGTTGAGCTTTGTTTGTGTTTTGCTTGGCTGGAAAACTGTCAATATAATTGAGTAACGTATAAAACCTGTCTTTGTTTATTTTGTGAATGTGTGGATATAGACAGTAGTAAATACACTTCCGTGGGGACTATTAGAGACAGAGTAGATTGTCTGTTTATCAGTTCTGTTTTGCCTTTATAATATGATTTCATATCAAGAACCCCTTGTGCGTTTATTTAATACAGCAATTTTTTATAGTTGATCGTTACACACTGATGTTCCTGACATATTCCTATTCCCACAGGTAGACAGTAAAATGGTATTCCACTGATATTGATCCTGGAGCACTGACATTAGCATCAACATTTCATCATTTTCTTCTCGCATTTATCGGACAAAGAATAAAAAGGCAGGAAACAGGGAGAGGGAGGATATACAACAAAGGTCCTTGCCAATGATGGGATTATGTGGCATACACTTGAACCACTCAGCTACTGAGGTTCTGCATCATTTCAGAACTGTTTATAAAGCCAATCTGCACTACAAAATAAAGTATTGTTATTAAAAGACAAAGTGCAATTTGGAACAATCATGTGTAAAAATATAGTTCATAATAATACCCATATCTCCCAAAGCATCAAAGGATGACTGAGGCACAAGGTTCAAAGTCAATCTGTTTAATGCTCTTTATCTCTAAAAGAAACTACTCAAAACAACCAAGGTTAGTCAGAAAATCACCTGGAATCTTTACACCGCTGTTTGTAAAGCAACACATCTTGCAACACATGTATGCCTGCTTACTCTCAGATCATAAACCATGATGGACAAGCACAACAATTATCTCCAAGAGATGACAGCCACCGCAGACAACAGACTGTCATATAGTGTGATTGAGCTTGGTATTATTGCTGCTAGATTTGACTGACACATCCTGACAGGAAGAGCCTACACTGCATACACAATGATCCACACACACCAACACGCTGCATGTGTGCGCCTGTGAAGCATGCACGAATATATAAAGGAAACATCAAAAAGGCTACAGTGGATTCTCTACAGTAACAAAAGCTTTAAGAGGGGTGACACATGACATCAGGCATTGTGTGTTTAGTCTATACGAAGATCTACTGCAGTGGCCCTCAAAGGTTCATTTGAAAAGAAAAAGGAATAGTGCATACCCCAACGTTGTGGTTACATATTAATCTGGCATGTTTTAATGAGGCTTACTCTGGGAAATTGTTTTGGTTTATCTGTTTAATCTCCCCTTTTCCTTTTTCCAAGGCTGGTTTACTAAATGGGAAAAGTAGGTAAATGATCCCAGATCACACTACATTACAATAGTCTTCTTAACTTTAAACCAGGGGTGTCCAAACTACCATTTTGAATCGGCCCTCAGCTAATTCAAAATGTGTAATGACTTAAGTATAATAAATCTGCTTGTCTTATATTGTACTTCTTAAATATACAAGTTCAAATATATTACACAGTTTTCATGTGTTAAGCCCAATCTTCAAATAAATTCAGTCAATTAAAGTTGAAAACATGTTCAAGTTGATAAGAAAAAAGCCCAATAACAAATGTACATGATATACCCTTCAAATATACCCTTCATATTTCCAGTTATTGTATCAATCTGAAGCTTCTGTTTTAAGGAATGAGCTGCTGTGTGAATTGATTGTTCACCTGTTTTTTCTGGCAGATTATAAGGTACAGTACATACAGAAAGATTATGCATGGTGTGGTGACATGTAGCACTTATTTTCCGCCTCCTGCTCTCTCCTGTGAACACTCCTTAAAGCCTCATACATACACATGATCCATACCTACCTCCAGGTAAGGTACAGGAGCGATGGAGGGGAAGGGGTATTCCCTTAGCTGTCTCTCTTCATCCAGAAACTTGCCAGCCTTGCTGTTGTAGGCCGGCTGGAAGAGGCCATAGTTCAGTACATCCTTCAGGCTCTGGTTGAGAGTACACAGGATCTGCTGCTTCGACAGCCAGATAGGAGCATCCACATTGAATTTCATGCATTTCTGCAGAGACAAGATCAAAGGAGGGGAGAAGGGTAAGCGCATGTCATTTTTCTAAATATCACATATTGCACTTTAGTTTACTTTAACTAAGAGACTGAAGGGCTATATTTGACCCAAAGTCACCTAAAAATAAACATACAGGCACTAACAAAGGTGCTGGAATATTAACTAGGGTCTTTTTAATTACATCTATTGAACTTACAACTTCATGCCCTTGGAAAAAGCCAGGCCTTTTTGTAATAAGCAACTAACATAGAGGTGAGGCAGCACTTCACCATGGCATTAACATTTACTTTTCACAAAATGTCATCCTGAAAGCCAGTGCTGGTTACCATAAGAGAGTACACTGTAACATAAGAAAAAAGCTTTTATTGAAACACTCTTCTGACACCCATTATTCTGCAACATAAATGTAGGTGTTCATTATTCATGCTCTAAAAATTAAGCTGGGCGATATGTAAGTGCTTCACAAATAGCTGCAGTATGTCTCTCCAGTCATTAATAAAACAGTTTGCAGGTTCTGCATTGATTCTTGAGGGAAAACTGAGAAAAATACAATCAACTTGGTATCATCTGTGCTTTAATAAACAACTGAATATGTATTTGATAAAACGAGGTAAAACCTTTGGGGAAATCTGATATTTGTAAATTAGATAAGGGTTGGTTAACTGAGTTATTCAACACTTGAAATAAATGACTATGCTGTTTTCCACTCCAGAGTGTAAAGGACTATGGTAAGTGTGAATAAGCAGAACACCTCCCTCTAGCTGAGAGTTAGAGGCAGGAAGAGAGAGTGCTAAATCCACAAGTAATAAATCAATCACTACTGCCTGCAATATTGATTAGGTCCCTCAACTCTATCCTGTGTTTTTGACACTAAGACACAACAATCATATCATATCACAACAACACAGCCCAACTGAGAACAACATGCAGATTGCCAGCAGCACACACGCAGCTCTGACTGGAGCATCAGTGCAGTGGGTGCAGAGACACAACACAAGTTATGAAATATTCATAAACAAAAAGACATGACGTAAAAGATGTCTTTCTAAACTACAAGTATAGGATTGAACGTTTATTAAAATAACACACATACTATGGTAGTAAAGGGGCAAAGGCAAGAAAGTGCCAAATATTGTAAGACATTCAGGAGCTGTCAATTAATAATTAGCTTGTTGACATAAATACGATTGAATATTCAAACATCATCAGCACAACTTCAAACATATGAAGAGAGATGTTTTGATCATGAAATATGTTTACAGGTGCCAGAAGTTATCAGCATTTGATACATCTGACACAGTATTGTGTGCTTAGTTGTGACAATTAATGCACTGAGCTGAACTGATAGCAGTGCAAAACACTTACATCTGACTAAGGATTATTTAGTGGGAATGCTGTTAACAGCATTCCCACTATCTGTTCTTCTACGCACAAAATTATTTATTATTATTCCGCCCGTTATTTTGCCTGTCTTCTCCTGCATTGAACATCGCAGAAACTCCGTTCAAACATCAAAACGTTCAGCTCGGTCGGGAATCAATGGCTATTACTTTTCTCATTCATAACTCCAGAGATACATCCCATAATTCATCACATTTGTAACCATTGAAGTCAATGGAGAAAATCTTCACACTTCAACAAATCTTCATGCGACTTCAACTGCTAACTGTTCACTCATACTTTCACTCGGAAACCTCATTCCAACTTTAAAATGTTACACATCTTTCTGACATTATTCGTGTAACACAACTTTTAAATCTGATTCTTACTTTTAGAGATATTAAACATTGTTCAGACCTTGTTTTAGAGGTTTTCTTCAGATTTTAACATTAACTAGAGTGTGTGCCTTCATATATTTTTTTAAACTGCCATAATTCCCAAACCCTACATTCCTGAGACATACTTTTTCATGACAAACGTAGGAAAACATCTCGTAGCTTGAGAAATTACAAATAATTAAGCAAAAATAATTAAACAAAATGCCTCTTGAGGGCATAAAGTGACAAAAAACTTTCAACATGCCTCCATTAAAGCCCATTGTAATTTCAGGCTGATATTTCCTCACAGCAGCAGCCGCACACCTTTAGTTAAACTGCCAAAAAGGCCACATTATTAACCTGAAAGTACACAAATTACACTTCAGATACTCAACTTCCTTGACATGCTTCACGTTTTGAAATTTCACAGATATCTGTTACAGTTCTTCCACAAAACATTCACATGTAAGAGGTTTATCTCTCATTCAGAACAATGGAAACCTTTGATCTCTGGACGCCTCATTAGCTCAAAATTAAACACCTGTGTAATGGAACACGATGATGTCATCACTCCAACTGACATGCTCAGAGCAGCAGACTTCAGATACACAGTCCAGCTGTGAAGACATCTATGGGACAGTTTTGAGATTTCTTCAAATGCCGTTGCCATGGCAACACAATGCTCACCATGAAACACGGCTTTCTCATAACTTCAGTGAAAATACTCCAAACGCCCCAAAACTTCACAGGTTTGGTAACGATGCAGCCATCAACACATCTAAGCGTATTATGGGGTGTCATCAAATGTCGTTGCCATGGCGACAGACCACTCGCCATGAAGTCGCTGTAAGTCCAATCGACACGGTCCAATCGTCCCCCAATCTTCACTTGTATATCACCGGTCCATGCCTCAACAGCTCTACGCCAAATCTGAGATCTCACCATATGCCGTTTCCATGGAAACGCATCCCTCGCCATAAAACATGATGTCGCTATAACTCCTATGAAAATGTTCAAAAAGTGCTCAAACTTCACATGTGTGCTAACAGTCCAGCCGTGAAGACATCTACGGGACAGTTTTGAGATTTCTTCAAATGTCGTTGCCACGGCAACACAATGCTCGCCATGAAACAGTTTTCTCATAACTTCAGTGAAACTGCTCCAAACGCCCCAAAACTTCACAAGTTTGGTAACGATGCAGCCATCAACGCATCTAAGCGTATTATGGGGTGTCATCAAATGCCGTTGGCATGGCGACAGATCATTCGCTATCAAGTTAGTTCAGAAGTTTGCAGTTCAAATATTCTGCTGCTTTTCCAAGCCTTTTTACTTTATTTTCTTCTCTCATCACACATTCAAGCCCCCAGTGTTCATGTATCATTTCAATCTAAATTCTTCACTTTCTTCTTACACATTACATTTCAGCATAGCAGTTCAGTGTCAGCTTTTCAGCATAAAGCATTCCCACTAGCAATTTCTTCAGGAATTGCATTCTCTAGTTTCAGGCTGATATTTCCTCACAGCAGCAGCCGCACACCTTTAGTTAATCTGCCAAAAAGGCCACATTATTGACCCGAAAGTACACAAAAAGCACACTTCAGATACTCAAGGTCCTTGAGATGCTTCACGCTTTGAAATGTCCCCGATATCTGTTACGGTTCTTCAACAAAACGTTCACATGTAACAGGTTTATCTGTCATTCAGAACAATGGAAACCTTTGATCTCTGCATACCTCGTCAGCTCAAATGTGACCCGCTCTATCGAAATCAGTCAGAAGTCGCAACGGCTCATTTCAAAATAAACGTGGATTTGCGTAAAAAACAGGAATTGCATTCTCTAGTTATTGCTGTTATTGAAGTTATGTTTTAGTTTTTAAGGTCTCCTATTATACTGTTTTTCATCAATATATTAAAGGTCTCAGATCAAACAGATCATGCATTGTAGCATTCCATAAACCCTTTTGTTTCAGCCCAGTTTATAAAGTGCGGATTCTCTGTCTTTTACTTTTGATCAGGGGTGTCAAACTCAAGGCCCGTGGGTCAAATCCGGCCCCCGACTTCATTTTATTTGGCCCGCAAGAGCTTGCAAAAAATATAATACGTTTATTATAAGGTTTCATGCCACTTTACAGAAGCACTATGTCCATAAACTACATGTCCCACAATGCATCTCATTTTGTGACATGCACACTGAAGAGACTTGCAATTATTTGAAATGATTTGCCCTTGACTTCGGCTCTCAGACGTAGTTAATTATGAAGTTATCACCCTATCCGATAATAATCCAATGCAGAGGCAATAATGTAATATAAAACATTATTTTATATTAATATAGTCTTAAAGTTACAACCGGCCCTTTGAGTGCAACCTTAATGCTGATGTGGCCCACGATGAAATTGAATTTGACACCCCTGCTTTAGATGAAAATAAGGAGCCACTCCCCACGCCCCTCTGCGAGATATTTGGTTAGAAAGAACACAATGTTGCTCTACGAGGAGATTCAGGTGATAAGGGGGGGGGGGGGGTGTTACCTTGGTTGGTGATTGGCTAATGGTTACACAAGCTAAAAAATCATTATGACATCATAAAGTGGCCACAATCTGATCAGCTCATTTTCAGACAGGTTTTTATATAAATGGAACACGACAAAAAGTGAGCGAATCTTTTTTCCTGAAACGTTCAGAATCTCTTAACACAGAGGGGACACATGTTTATGTATAAAAGACATGAAGAGTGGATTATAGGTGACCTTTAAGGGATCAAGACAACAGCCCCTCTGCAGACTGGCTGGGACACATCCAGAAGAAGTTGAGCTCTTATTGCAGATGGCCAACAGGCCTTATTGCCTACCTCATCGGTTTTATAGGAATAATGTATAATGTAGGTGAACAACGCTAGCCTTTTATCCATACCATGATATGATTGGCCTTATTGACAAAAGGACAGCAATTGTTTCCTCTTTCAGACAGGTAAAAGATAATGAGGCCGTTATAAAGTCATCATGACATGCTATCAGCTAATCAGTCACTGATTGGTTGATTAGTATCCGATTGGGCTAATTCTCTATCTGAGGTGAACTGGTTCCAGACTAAAGTTGACAATTATTTTTATAGAAGATACTGTAGCAACTGCTGCACTGTTCATGTATGTACATTAGCTGCTTAACTGCTCCACCAAAATAGTGTTTAAGATAAGTAAAAAGAAAACAGGGCAACATATCCAAACTTTAAATATCCT